GAGAACAAGGGGGCCAGGACAGTGACCAGAGCTGCAAATATGGATCACCCTCCTGGGTCTTCTCTCTGCTGCAACCAGAGGCCTTTTCTCCAACCAGGCTAGGAAATGCCTGGGTACACCCTCCAGAGGGCCCCCGTTCCCGAAGACTTTGACCTCTGACCCACAAAGGCGAAGAGTCTCGGACTCAGAATGAAAATCTAATTCGCTGACCTCCGTCCGCCTCTCCCCAGAGCACCACCACGTCATTCCGTTTGGATAGCATTCTTGAAATGACACAAGAATGGGCCCAGCGAACAGATTTGTGGCCGCCAGAGCCGAGGATGGGTGGGACGGACTGGGCTGAGGCTATAAATGGGCAACAAGCGTGATCGCTGTGACAGTGGGACTGGTTTGTGTCTCGATGGTGGCGGTGAAGTCTACACAAAGCCCAGGAGTGGATGACGCTGCACAGAACCCAAAACAAACATGTGAGTGCAGGCGGGGCGGGGAATCGGAAGATCAGTAGATCATATCTGCGTCACTATCTCGGTACTGAGACTGTATAATTTTGCAAAAAAACCCCACCATCATCTGGAGAAAAGAGAGAGACATGAGAGTGGGGGGCACTGACTGTATTACTTCTTGCTATTACGTGTGAGTCTACAGTCATTTCAAAAGAAAGTTTCAATATATAAAAAAAAAAAGAAAAAGACCAAATTGCATTCCCCCCCCCCAACTGGCCCAAGCTAAGCCTCTGACATCCTCTCTGTCCTTCTCTGTCCCCCAGAAGCCTCAGACCCACAGCCTCCTCATCACCTCCTGTCCCATTCTCTCTTACTGTCTTTGTACCCAGAACCACGTCCAAGGGGGTCTTTTCCTGAACCCCTGAATCTAAGGCGACTCCCCCATTAATCCTTATCACCATCCTCAGTGTATCTCGGCCGCAGTCCTTAACATCATCTTACTCATTTCAGGACCACTTTTCAATCACTTTTTTTCAATAATTTTCAATCATTTGCTATGCGGCTGAGAACTGGACAGTGAAGAAGGGTGACAGAAGAATTGACCCCTTTGAATTGTAATGGGAGAGTTGAGTACTGAAGACCCCATGTGCTGCCAAAAGAACAAACAGTTACGTCTTAGAGAAGGTGCAGCCAGAGTGCTTCTAAGAGGCAAAGATGATAAAGCTTTTGTCACATATACTTTGGGCATTCACTAGAGAAGGTCATCATGCTTGGGAGGGTAGAAGGACAGCGAAAGAGAGGAAGACCCTTGGCCAGGTGGACCGGCACAGTGACTACAGCAATGGGGTCTAGTGTGTCAGAGACTGTGAAAACAGCACAGGATAGGACAGGGTTCAGACCTCTTGTTCCTTAGGTAGCTGTGAGCCGTACTTACCTTGACAGCACCTAACAACAACAACTTTGGTGGCATAGTGAGTAAGGAGTTGCTCTACCAATTCAATGGCAGGAGGTTCAAATCCACCAGCCGCTTCTCAGCAGAAAGATGTCAATTCCCACTCGTGTGATTTTTTAGCTTCTGAAAACCACTGGCGGGTCAGCCAGAAGTCCGTTCCAACTCAATGGCAACCCACAACAACAATCATTTCGGTGAGGTTAGAAGTGTGATAGGGAAGCTACAGCTACAAAGATCTGACTATAAAAGTTTACAACATCCTTAGGACGAAACACGCCATAAACAAAACAGAAGTCAAACAAAAAGCCAGAACGAGGTAGCAATCTACACAGCAAAGCCTTAATGGCTGAGGGGGGCAGGGAAGAAAATGTGCAACAATGAATGAATGGAAATCCAAGTTCTTTAAAAACCTAAAATAAAATCTTGATTAAAATAATAATAATAAAAAAAGATGTAAAGAGGCCTTACAAACCAGTAAGACAAAGAGTCTTTAAGCAAAGTAGACAAAGGATATGAATGGTTCGAAAAAGAATTCCACATTGGCAAGATGTGGAATCACCTCTCCCAGGGGGCTGCTGGGCGGGAGTGTGAAAGACGACCTGTTAGCTGTCCGTTGCTGCTCTCAGTATACAGATGCTTTGACAAGAAAGCAAGCTCTATGAAGACAGAGCTTTATGTCGGCCATGTCACTCTGCCCCCAGTTCCTCAAACAGTGCCTGATACAAACATAATTACGTGCAATCACTGGGTTGGACAATTTGATGGGGAGGGGAGTGTTTGAGGGAAATGGAAAGAATTTGTTCAAATTTGTATTAGAGGGTTTAAAAAAATTTTTTTAAAATAATTTTAATGAACATTTACAGAGAATTTAGATTTCCATTCATTCTGTATTAGAGTTTTATAAATAAACCAGTAGAGAGAAAAAAACAACAAAACCACCAAAAACATATTATGTGCTCAGTGAACATATCCTGGGCAGCTAATGTTCAACAATAATAAATGCAAAGATATATTTGAAAACATATATTACATATTATAGATCTTCATGTATAATAAAGAACTAAGCCAACTTCTGCCAAGTTAATTGCAGCTCATGGCAAACCTTCATCATGTTTCTGAGTCTGTAAATCTTATTGGCAAGAGACTGTCTCGTCTTTCTCCCATACAGCAAGCAGCTGGTGGATCTGAACTGCCCTCAGTGGTTTTCTAGGCTGGAAGGGAGCTTTGGTAGCTTAGTGATAAGGAATTGTGTTGCCAACCCAAAGGTGTGCAGTTCGAATCCACTGGCTTCTCTGAGGGAGAAAGATGGGCAATCTCCTCCTGTGCAATTTACAGCCTCTGAAAACCCGCTGGCGGTTTAGCTACTCAATGCTACTCTAGAATAATCTGTATGGAAGCATGCCTTCCTTCTGCCGTACTTCTGGCTGGGTTTGAACCTTCAGATTCGCATTTGAGTGAATGTGCACCCACCATCTGGTGTCCGGCCCAGATCTTGGTCAATTCATCTACAGCATTCTTATAACCATCAGATGCATGAGGCGGGTGCTGTTAAAACGTGCATTTTACGTATAAGGAGAGCGAGGGAGGAGTAGCAGAGAAGTCAGAGCAGGATTTGAGCCTCAGCAGTGTTGCTCCATAGTCCACCCTTCTGCCACTGGGCTCTGCTGTCCCTGGAAATGCAGTCTTCAAATCCCCACGTCCCAGAGGGAGGTGGTGTTAGCAGATCTCAAAAGGAAAACAGAGGCTCTAAGAGGGCCAGTGGCAAGGGGAAGCAACTGGAATTTGAAAGCAGTGCCAGCACCAGGAACTGAAGACAGCAAGACAGCAGAAGATCCAGAGAGAGAGAGAGAGACAGAGACAGAGACAGAGAAACCCTGCCCTGCTAGGGGAAACTCACTCGTTCTGTTTCTCAGAGGTGAAGAGCTATCCCAGTGAGGTCAGAACTGCAGCAGCCTTTAAGCTCAGTGGGAGAAACAGGCTTCCTGCCCTCTCCTCCCTGCTCCTGGCAGCAAACCCAGCTCGAAGGAGAAGGGCTCAGTCTGCAGGCAGGATGCAGCCATGCCTGTAACCAGTGGCGCTTAAAGAAGAAGCTGGGGACAGAAGGGCTGGGCAGCTCGGAACCACTAATTCCTAGAACTCCACTTGGAAGCTGGTCTGGCCAGGGACCAAGGCCTTACTTCTCTGGGGCAGCAGCCTTCCCAGAACTGCCGCCAAGCCTGGGTTCCCAGAACCTGAAGCTGCGTCACCCACCCCACCCAGGCCTGTGAGGCAGCCAGGCCAGGACCTAACCCAGCCTGGGCTCGGCCTGTCCCCACCCCCGCTGGTTCTGCAGCCACCAGTGGCAAGTCAGGGCTCAGGCCCAGGGCCGGGGCTCCATGCACACCTTCTGTGCTCCTGGGGCCACTTCCACTCAGCCCACTGCCTCTGCTCTTCCTGCACACTTATTCTGAGCAACAA